CTTTTTTTCTTTTCTTTTTTTTTTTTTTGCTTTAGACAAAAAATCATATTTCTGTTGTGTAATTAACTTAATATCTTTACAAAAAATATATATATATATACATTATAATAGAATACATAAATATAAAAAGATTCATCGAAAATTATATAATTTGTAAACAGCTAAAGAAGAGTGACATAATTGCCAAACAAATCTCCAACTATTATCACTACTAATATAATTACAATATTTTTCTTTTCCTTTTACTGAGCACACACGTTATAAATTTTGTCTAAATAGACATTTGGTTCATGAATTTATAATTATAATTTAAAATTATTTTAATTTATGTGTATTTTTTTATTAAAAAAAATATTATAATAAATTATAAACTATGATTTAAATTATGACACAAATTCCTTTTACTGAGCACACACGTTATAAATTTTGTCTAAATAGACGTTTGGTTCATGAATTTATAATTATAATTTAAAATTATTTTAATTTATGTGTATTTTTTTATTAAAAAAAAATATTATAATAAATTATAAACTATGATTTAAATTATAACACAAATAAAATAACTAAACGCACTCTAAGCATATAAATATCTTCTGATCTCACATTAGCATTACGGGTAACGAATGATTTCAAAAAGGTTTTTACTTTTTGTCTTTTTCTTTTTTTGGTAAAAGAGCTCTCCGTTCAACAATTGCATACAACATTATTTTCTTTTCGCACCAGCCCCTTAGATCCTCTTTAAAGTCTTTTCCAACCAAAAACAACAAGAAAAAATAAAAATAAATAAATAACTCTTAAGTTTGCTCAGCAATCTTATTGTGTATTATCCAAATTTCACCCAGAAACATGTTTGTCTCTCTCTCTCTTGAAAATAAACAATTATAATTTATGATTGACGATGAAATCACCGTATGCATTCAGTGGATCAAGACTGCCCATTTGGCAGTTCTATCCCATTATCATACATTTAATAACGCATAATCAAACGGTGATAAATTTTCAGAATCTCAGAACTCAAAGAAACAAAAAGAAAATTTGTATGCTTGCTATTTAGACTCTTACCCTCTAGAAAGCTAAATTTTAGTAAAATTTAGGGATACAAGTCGAATCGGTAAAAACTGAAATTTACATCTCTAAAAGAACTCTCTAAATTTTAGTAAAATTTCAACTAAAATGATTAAAAAGTTATTTTAATTAGTAACTTTTAGATACACTTCAAATATACTCACTATTTTACTTAAATATATATTATTTTAATATTTATTGAATTTAAAAATACAAATAACTTTATTTAATTTAGAAAAAACTTTTATATTTATTATAGTTTGAAAGAATAAAATAATAAAAAAATCAAATGGTTTAATTAGAGTTGATTTTAGGAAAAAAAATATTAAAATTAAATAAAGGAGTTACCTGAGGCCTAATTAGCGGGGAAAGAGAGAACGATATCTACCGGTTTGGATCATATTGCCTAAAAGACGTGAGAAAATTGAATTGGAATCCAACATTCGAATTTAGACGTGGCAAAAAGAAGACATGATGTTAGGTTGTGCCTTGTCACTACATTCCTAATTCTATTTGCTTTTTCTTTTTTTTTTTCCTTATCCTTCTTGCTGTTGCGCGGAATTGTTCAAAAGGAGCAAAAAAGTAGATATTCAATTGTGTTGATTTATTGTCATTCCACTGTTCAAAACTTTCAAAGCCGAGAAGAAAGAGAAGCAGAGAACAGAGAAGAGAGCCTGAGACAAAGCAAAGCAAAGAAACATGACCCAGTGAAACATCCCCATCTTTCTTTCTCTTCTTTTCATGGTTTGCTGGGGAAAAAGAAAAAAAGCAAAAAGAAAAGGGCAAAAAAAAAAAAACACTAAACCCATATGATTATGCGAGAGAGAGAAACCCAACCCCAAGGTCATCTTTTCTTTTTCTTTCTTTCTTGCCCACCAGAAAAACATCATTTTGAATTCCTCAATAACAGTACCAACTTAACATTTTTTTTCTAGAAAAGGATTTAAAAAAAAAAAAAAAAAGAAAATAGTCCAATTCCAATTAGATTGCCCGTCTTTCTTTTTGACTGTACAGTTGTTATTCTAATTTCTATGCCCTCTTCTTCCTCAATCTCCCCACCATGTCCCAATGTACCCAAAGAACAGGAAGCATCTTGAATTTTCTATACCCTTGCCTCCTGTCCGCACACTCAAAAATTTCAAAAGAAAAAAAAAAAAAAAAAAAAAAAAACCCACTTTCCTCAAAGTCTCACCCCTAAAAACCCATCAATCAAAATAAAATAAAATAAAAAGTCACCTGCCAATACCCTCTTCACCTCTTGCCCTCTCACTTGCTATACAAAGCTTGTGCTACCCACTTCCACTTAACTGGCTGATTCTGAAAATAAAATAAAATAAAATATGAAGGAAAAAAGAAAAAAGAATAGGCCATCGGCAATAGAACCCCATTAGTAGAGACATTCACATTTTCGCACAGCCAGGAAGGTGAACTTGTTCATACACATCCCAGTCCTCCTGCTGTGAATCATTTCACTGATACTGAATTTGATCATCTGGAATTCTTGAAAGACTCTGTGGGATCTGCGTCTCCGTATCTAAAAATTACGAGTCAGTAGTATCCTCCACGAAGATTCTATGAATGAAATCCCGGAACCTTTTGGAGTAGAGCTTGGGATCCACGGCCGAGATGGAAGTGGGATCCACTTGCAAGGACTTGTAGGCATGTTCTAGCTTTTTGCTAATATCATAATCTTGGAGAATGTCAATGATACCAAAGTATAGGATTACGTCAGAGATCTCACCGCCATTCCGAGAAGGGGTTGAATTGCTACTTCCACCTCCTCCTCCTCCTCCTGTGTTCTGTTCCAACACTGACTTTGACACTCTCTCTGCCCTTGCAGGCATGTTTGCCCCTAACCGTATCAGTGGCCCCCTGCAAACCAACAATGAGTCGAAAGATCAGTTGAGCACTGCTGGTATTCATCACCATTGATTTGATGTAAAACTATATATTTTTTTAAATATGATCCTACTATGTTATGTGGTAGTTTTTGCATTAGCAACGTTGATAAATAGTATTTTTCAGATCAGTTACGTATATTATGTTTACAAAACCATTACAATACATAGCTTGCTACTATGCTGAAATTTCCACCTTTATCGTAACTTGACAAAATCACATCTTGATTTCCTATTGTCTAAATTCTGCTCATGGAAATTGACAAATCGACCATGAAAACCATTTTGACCAAAACTGGATTAGGAAAATTTTATAATGCATTAGGGATTCCACAACAAGTAATATTCCTCTTTGGTTCTTCAATCACCACAAGGCATTATAATTGAGTTACAAACTTCATAAGTGACTTTTGTTTGTATCCAAAAAACCAAGACAGACCCACTAGAGTCTGTTCTCATGTCTGCACAAGAATAATATGAACAGCCCAAACTTTGCGCTCCAATTCAAAGTCACATTCAAGTCGATGAAATGAACGCAACAAGATCAAGCTCAGAAGAACCAATTATTCGATACTGCCCCGCTAAAAAGAATATATGCTCTGAAATACAAAATGCAACTTTACTTGTTTGTGAAACGTATTTGACTATGTGCATGCATGTCTAGATATTTTTTAAAGGAAAATACTGATTCCATATCGTGGTTCCTCTATGACGTGCCTGGCATCTTCCTAAATCCAAGACTTCCAATTTAGAGGGGAAAAAAAATTATCAAACTAATCATTTTTAGGAAGAGAAGGATGCATTTTGTTTCTGGGGTATATTTGATAGTTGGGTCCATAGTACCAAACATCAACATGTGGGCACGGCACATAGTATAAAAGGAGATGCCGGTTAAGGGGCCCAAGCTACGAGATCGTTGATCGATAGCGACAGATAGACAAATATAGATCAAATTAATTATCTTCTTTCTAAAGTTGACCAGAACTTTTGTCTAATAAAAAAAGAAACTCCCCGTTCACAAGAAATGGGAGTTTTTATTTTATTTTTGGCCTAAATTTTTTCAACAAACGCAAAAGCGGCAAAACCAATAAACATTCCCTCCCTCCAAAGTTCGCTGCTTCCAAACTACTTGTCAAACGATATCGTTTATATCATGATAAAGATTATTACGAAGTCAACATAAGCAAAAGAAACAGAATCAGTCATCAAAGAAATTAAGACGTACCGGCCAACAAGAACCCACTCCATATCCTGCAGCTCTTCGTTATTTAAGCGATAACCCCTAGTAAATGCCTCATCATGGAACGTCTCTGTGTTACCTGATAAAAAACATGAAGTGATTTTTAATACTTTTTAAAAAGTTACAAGTCCACCCAGGTTTCACATCTTAAACGAGAGTACTATAATCACACGATTTGGAAAATTAAGATAACTTACCAGAACGCATATCAAACAGTGACAACTTCATATCATCCGACGAATAATCACCACGGAAGTGAAGACCAATCAGAAGACTGTAGTCCATTATCCTCTCTGCTTCCAGGAACTCACAATCTCTTTCAATTTGCCTGAGTACAAGTAACTCCATATGATTGTTTTTCAAGTATTTCTAACAACTAAGCAGGAACATTAACTGCAAAGAAAGAGTGATTAAAGTAAAATGCTTCATAATTACATACCAGATTAGTTCTTGAAACCATGACCTTTCCAGGCGGAACACAAAATTAAGATCAAGGTCCTTAAGCGTGGTAGTTTCGTCAATTTCCCCTTCAGGTTTATCAGTTATGCGACCATAGGAAGACCCTTTGAGATCAAATCGTTTATGGATGCGGTACTCTGAACAAAATAGGTTGCCCATCACGATAAAACGCGTCTGGTTTTCATTACATACCAAGATTAATTAGAAACCGCTAAGCATTTGGTGAACAAAGCACTAGAAGCAAAACTAATTCAGTCAAATTATTACCTTCTGACCTCCCACTGGCTTTACGCAATGAACGCCAAAAAACTTTGTTACCAAGGAGTTCTTATATTGGCAAACATGTTGGTAGTAACTTGGAAGCATCCTTATAAGCACCTGAGGAAACCAATCTATATTATGCGATAGGAGCAACAAAAAAAAAAAAAAAAAAAAAAAAAAAATTTCTGATTTTTTTTTCTAAAACTACATTGCTCATATTCTTGCTTGTTGTTTTGTTCTCTTTTCAGATATAATGGAAACAAGGGCCAAAGGGAAAATCAACCAACCTTGACTTCGGATTTCTTCACGGTTTTTATCATGAAACGATCATCTTGGGTCAGATAAAAGAAGCTTCCGCTCTTTCCCGGAGAAGAAAACTCTCTAAGAGCATCATTTCCACAAATGGCTAGCATGTAATCCGCAGGATCTATTGCAAACAATTCCCTCAAATGTCTAAATGCGAAAGAAACTAGTTACCCACCAACACCAAGTAAAAATAACAAAGTATATAACTAAAAAACGAATAACGAGGTTACCAATACTTGGAAACCCAAAAGTATCAAATTTTACCAAATTGTTAATGATGCAATAAATTCCACAAAACTCAGTATAATAAAAAGTGGTGATGAGAAATTGTATAGAATTAATTACCTAAATACCATGGGACAATAGTCCTTCCATCTGAAGTCCACTGACTGATGCGGCGGTGTAAACTTCGAGCCTTCTGGAGGAAACCTTGTCCAGAACTTCTCCTTGGGATCAAAATCTCCAGCCCTGAGCTCTCGCAATATGGAAGCGTGCTTCCCAACAGTGTACCTTCAATAAACAACAATGCAATAAGTAAATATCTAGTGACAACGAAGAAGAGCACAAGATAAAAGAAAGACTGGAAACCTAGTTGGAGATCACAGTCCTGCGGAGGATCATCCATTCCCTCCTCTAATTCCTCTAACCAAACAAGTATAAGTCTTAAAAATCATCCACAACTCCTTTCCACTTTTCCCTCCTACCAAACAAGGCCTAAGCATCAAATAGTAGTTCACAAGAGAGAAGATAAAAGAATACCTAATGCCCAGTTGTAGATTAAGCATCAAATCATAGTTCTTATGGCCTTTTGAAATGGTCTGACCCGGCTTCTTGACATCGCAATCGGTTGAGCTGCAGGGGCTCTTGCTTTGCAGCTTAGTAGGTTCAGAGTAAGACTCTCTACCATCCTTATAAAACATGGAGGCCTCCACATTGTCCACAATGTCACACGTAATGTCCCCCGCTTCCCCGTCTAGCTCCCATATGCAAATCCGGGGGAAGCTCACGGGCTTCATCCCGTCCACCGACGACCTCTTCTGGGCTGCATCAAACCCGGATTTGTGATGGTAGAGGTTCTCATCTTCTACTAAACAAGCGGCATTGTTGGACCAAGTAAAGGTGCCCTTCCCTTTGGGCACCCCATTCTCCCAGTACCCTTCAAACCGGTTTCCATTTCCCCAAATCAGAATGCCTTTCCCCCAAATGGCACCGCCCCGCCAGTCGCCGTCGTACTCATTACCGTTGCTGCTCCACACATACCGCCCCCTACCATCCTGAGAGACAGGGATAAAAAAATATATATATCTATAAATATTGACAGATTTCGTTGTCATTTTATGGAAATATAAACAGAAATTTAAAAAAAAAAAAACAAATAAACAAATAAAGAGGATAACCTTCTCATTTGAACAGAAAATCTAAGATGTATAGTCATTTTATGGAAACATACACGAAATTTCTTTGTTTGATTTCTGACCTGGAGGTTGCAGCGCCACTCGCCCTGGTAGAGATCTCCATTGGCGTAGCGCTTCTCGCCGTAACCGTGCTTGCGGTCAGAGATCCAGAAGCCTTTATACGTGTCGCCGTCAGTGCCGGTGAAGGTTCCAAAGCCGTCCATTCTGCCGGACTTGAAGTCGCCCTCGTAGGTGGCGCCGGAGGGCCATGAGAATCTTCCTCTCCCCCAGGCCTTTCCTTTCCTCCATTCTCCCTCGTACATGCACCCGTCCGACCACAAGTACTTGCCGCTCCCGTGCGGCACGCTCCCCGAGAACGTCCCCGTGTAGATGTCTCCGTTCGGGAGCACCTTCTCCACTACAGACAAGGAGGAGAGCGTGGGTGCCACGCGACTCGATCCTAAATGAGATCGGTGGTTCCGGCCACCACCTACTACCACGCACGGCGGCGGCGGGTGGAGGAACTCGATGTCGATGTCCCTTCCTTGCGCCTGCGATTTCTTCTTCTTCTTGTTGCCTGTAGTGGTGGTGGTGGTGATGTCTTCGTCGGAGAGAGTAAGGAGAGTCTTCTCCTGCATGTTTGGCCGGAGATTACGCCGGAGAATGCGGCGGAAGCGGCATTTCCGGCGGCGAATAGTCTACTTACTCTGTAGATTCGAGTCTGAAGTGAAATGACTACTCAATGAGTCACAATGAGAGATTGTAAAAGGATGAAGAAGAAGAGGGGATGCACTGTGTCTACTGCGGGTTTGAATAATGAATGAACGAAAGGGGAAAAAGAAAGAGAAGAGGCAGTGAAAGAGAAAGGGAGAGAAAGAAAGAGGAACAGACTACTGAGGAGGAAGACGAGGAAAAAGCAAACTCTCAAAATAGTACCTGTAACCTACTACTACTACTACTCAACACCAACAAAAATAAATAAATAAAAAATAAAAATAAGAAAAAAGCGGAGAGAGAGAGAGAGTAAGGCTCTGTTTGGTCAGAGAGACACGGAGAGTATGAAAAATATTAGAGAGTTGAAAAAATATAGAAGATAAGGAGACGTTTAGTTCATAGATTAGAATTATACGATTAAAATTATTTTTAATTTATGTGTATTTTTTATAAAAAAAATGCTGTAATAAATCATAAATTATTATTCAAATTATGATACGAATCTTCTAACTAAACGTCTCTTAAGATTGAGAGAATTATAATAATAATTTATTTTAAAAGATGAAAAGGTAATTTTAATTTTAATTTTAATAAATTAATTAGATTATTTTATTAATAGAATGATTTAAAATGATAAGCCTAGTGAGAGACTCTTTCTCTCTTTTTTTCTCTTTTCTACCAAATAAGAAATTCACCATCTCTCTCTCCATCTTTTTTATTCTTTTATCTCTCTAATCAAACGGAGCCTAAAGGATAAATAAACTGGGGGGTCTGAGGAACTGGGTCAGCTGGGTCTCGAGTCTCACATGTCCTGCTTGCTGTGGATTTTGGGTTTTGATTATGCCAAGTGGAAACGTTGCTGCGTGCCATTGGCTGCTTTGCAAGTAATTGGTATCCAATCCCATCTCATTCAGATTTACGTTATTTGGTTCTACCTAAAGTATTACATTTATCAGAAAAAAAAAATCATATTTATTTGTACATAGTGGTTATTATTAACGACCTATTCTACTGGTATTATATAGGATCATGTTACAAGTGTTACGTTTATGATTGACTGAAAAATTATGATAATAATTACAGTGGTGATAAAGATCCAATCCCCGTTCCCCCAATGCCGTAGCTTCACTCAACAGAATCGATTAGGCTACGCTCTAGCCATGCAACACAATTGTACCCTATTTGGATTGATGTTTCCCTTATTTATCTTCCAAAATCTAACGCCAAATTCTAATTTAATTGTATCCGAAAAGTTGATATTTTTAAGTCACACGCCATAAGAAAACATGCATTACAATTGAAGTGGATTGGCTGGACCTTTACATTAATTGCCCGTTATTTGTGTTTGAAGCGTGTGAGCCCAAGACAATTCACTACGGTTTGTAACTTTTTTTCTTACCAGCCTTGTCATTTACACATTGTTCACCGCTTGCATTTTTGTTTTATGCAACCGCCTGTATTTATTATTGATTGATGATTGATTATTGATAGTTGTATGTTTCCTCCAATCTTTTACTATTTTGAGTAAGGTTTGATTATGTAGGAAACTAATAAAAAGTTTTATCTAATAAAGACACGAAACTCATTTAGAGCTTGTTTAGTTTGTTGATTTGAATTTTTAATTCGAGTTGAGATGTGACTTTATGTGAGAATTTTTTACTATAATAAAAAAGTTAGATGTAACTGTTTCTGAGGACTTTTAACTGTAACAAAATTTGAATTCTAAATTCAAATCGGTAAAATGAATGAGACCTTATATTGCGTTTAAAATTTTTTGTTTTGTTTTGTTTTAAAGGTAAAAATAATAAATAACCCAACCTCAGAAGATGAGAGAGAGAGAGAGAGAGAGAGAGAGAGAGAGAGAGAGAGAGGGGGGGGGGGGGGAGCAGAATCGCAACTAGGGAGGCCCAACGAAAACAAAAAATCCCCTTCATAAGTCACATGACCAAGGCAAGAGTACTGGGTTGGCCTAACCGTAACGGCTCTCAAATGACAATTGACATTAACATGATTGGCGCTTTAAATTGCCCAAAGTGTACTTTTATTTATGCTTTAACTTATCCACGGGTTATGAACATGCAAACTCTACCATTTGGCAGCTTGGCTTCATAAGTAGGGGTAGGGGTGACAAAAACCCGACAACACACGATGAACCCAATTAACTTACCTAGTTCAACCTATTATAAACCAAACTTGACCAACCCGATTAAAAGATTAATATGTTCCACTCAACCCGACTATTAAATAAGTGAATTTGGGTTAAGTTTAATCCGAACCTATTCAGTCTATTTATATATATAAATAAATATTTTTTTACATCATAATATATAATATTTGTCTTATATTTTACATCAATTACTTTACGACCTATTATGTTTTATGTTGCATGAGTTTTTATTATTGTTTGTTTATTAGTTTACAATTTATATATTTGAACGTCTTTTGCATATATTTTATTTGTATATTAGTTTATAACTTATGAGACAATTTTAGTGATTTATAAGACTAATGTTATAACTGATTAGGCATTAGTTTTATTTTTATTTTTTTTTACTATGTTTCAACCCATTCAAACTTAATTGAGTGGGTTGAAAAATCTCAAAAACCCACATAATCCACTCCGATGTTCACCAATCACCCCTATTCAGAAGTATAAATACATCCAATCATATAGCTGCTCTCTCCTCTCTACTACCAAATTTGGCATATAAAACATATTACAAAATTCTTTGATTTGAAATGTTTTTTATGAGTTATGATTTCACTTCTCTGTTTCTGCTTATTTACATGTAAAAAAGCCTACAAATAAATAAATAAAATCAAGCAAACAAAAAAAAAAGGAAGAAATAGGGAAATAGGTCAAGACTTGAGATGAATTAAAATTAATAGGCTAATAGTTTATATAAGTTAATAAATAGGCCAAATTATTATTTTTGTCTATAACTTGTCTAGTTATGAACCATAACTTAACAAGTTATTGTCCATAATTCACGATTTTTGTCCATAATTTGTCTGGTTATGAACCATAACCTGACAAGTTTATCAATAACTTATCTGGTTATGAATCATAACTTAATAAGTTATGGCCTATTAATTTCTATAACTAAAAATTAGCCTATATACTTTCTTAAGCTTTTCATATTGACCTATTTTTTACTATTTTTGAAAAAAAATCTCAAAATGGGCCTTTTAAAATTGGACAATCTTCAACTGGAGAAAGCCCAAGGATGGCCGAAGGCTCCCCATTTTCATTGTTGGACTGGACTGTAACTGGTGGGCTTTGAATAGATAAGAGCCCAACCCAAATAAAAGAGGTGCGAGGCCGAGAGCGAATTGTAATTGAACTTGGAAGCGAACAGTGGGTGGGTCGCTGCCGCGTCAGAATTCCCGCTAGCCTCTAAATCGTTTTGTGGCTGCAAACGAAAAAACGAGTGGTTTGTGGAGTGTTGGAGTGTTTTCTCTTTCATTTCCAGGCTCTGGCTCAACTGGAAAGCAAAAATGGCGGCCAATTACATGACCTCCTCCTCCTCCTCTCAGGCGCTTCTTCTTCTATCCACTTGCCACCACCACCACCATTCCAGAACAACCACCCTCTCCTCATCCTTATCTTCCTTTCCCCTTTCTATCTCTAAAGCTCTTCAATTCTCCCATTCTTCTTCCTATTCTCTCTCTTACTCCTCCTCGAGGAGCTTCTCTATCTCTTGCCAGGCGGCTGCTTCCGGAACTGCCGTCTCCGACCTCGACGTCGCCGCCCAAGTCGGCCGGGACCGTCTTTTAAAGGTTCTTAACTTTTTTTTTTTTTTTTGCTGTGAAATTGCTTCTGGAAAATGGTATAATTCTAGTTGTTTATCGTTATTGTTTGTGTTGTTGTGTAGGTTCCGATTTCCAATATCAAGAATTTCTGTATAATTGCGCATATCGATCACGGCAAGTCTACTCTAGCGGATAAGTTGCTCCAAATGACGGGGACCGTACAGAAGCGTGAAATGAAGGATCAGTTTCTTGATAACATGGACTTAGAAAGAGAGCGGGGCATCACCATCAAACTCCAGGTTTTGTTATATTCCTCAAATTCCTTCTCTTGTCATTACAGATCCTTCAGAAAAGTCTTTCAAAGATGAAATTTCTAGAGAAAGAGATCAAATCCGAGAGTAAAAAGAATTTGCTTACAATCATTCTCAGAACAAACTGATTTTTCGGATTGATTAGAAATGTGGATACAACAGTCTAATACTGCTAATATCTACACATGCTTACAATTAACTAACAATTTAACTTTTTTTTTTTTGGGAAAGTTAACAATTTTAACTATTTTGGACACTCTGCATAAACTAATCAGTTGTCTTAACATGGATCATCCCAAATTGTTAATATTGATGTTTGTTTGTGGCAGGCAGCTCGGATGCGTTACGTGTTCAAAAACGAGCCGTACTGTCTCAACTTAATAGATACTCCAGGGCATGTCGATTTCTCTTATGAGGTGTGTGCAACTGCAATATATATCACGCATTTTTATTACTATTGATGTGATTAACTGAGTTAATCATTCTTTGATTCGATGTGCACTACCTGGTTCATGGTCTTGGAGTCGAGTTGTAAAGCGTGTTCCAGTTACTGGTTTGGTGTCTGAATAGTATAGTTTTATCTCTTTTCTCCTCACACAGTTGGTTTGTCATTGTGTATTGTGTGTTAGGTTTCCCGATCTCTTGTTGCCTGTGAGGGTGCTCTCCTTGTTGTAGATGCTTCCCAGGTGACTTCTTTTTATCAACCTTTCATATACCTTTTTCTTTGGATTAGTTATTTATTACCGTGTAATAAGTTTCTAGGTGTCATTTTGAAGGGAGTGGAAGCCCAAACGCTGGCCAATGTTTATTTGGCACTGGAAAATAACCTAGAAATTATTCCTGTAAGTTTGATTGATTATCTCCTTCTATTTGATGTTATCGAAGATTACTTCTTCCTTTTTCCCCCTTCATTCGGTAGTTAAATTTCATCAAACCAGTGACATAACGACTCTTTTCTTACAGGTTTTGAACAAAATAGACCTTCCAGGTGCTGAACCAGACAGGGTTATCAGGGAAATTGAGGAGGTTGTTACATTGATATTTCTATTGCTTATGTGACTTATGTATTACTTCTTGTTGGTTAATCGTTTAAGTCTCACTCCTTTTTTTTCCTTAATCCAGATTGTTGGTCTAGATTGTAGCAATGCAATACGCTGCTCCGCAAAGGTTGGTTCCTTGTCATTTTTTCTGCTAAAAAAATTTCGTCACATTGGTCTATTGAGCAATTGTGCTGAAGAATTTTATTAGTTCTTGCTGTAATATGTTGTTTGGTGGTGCTTTTCTTGTGTAGGAGGGAATTGGTATAAGTGAAATTTTAGATGCAATTGTTGAGAGAATTCCCCCACCACAGGATACTGCTGATAAGCCATTGAGAGCTTTAATATTTGATAGGTACAAGATTTTCCTCTGCCGTCGTCATTTAGACTCTTTATCTTTTATTATTACTTCATTTTATTGTATTGTTCCACGCCCAACTATTTGTCATTGACTTTTTTGTACTAGAGTTGCATTTGGAATTGGCTTTCTAATTAAGATTACTGTCTTGTTTCTGAATCTTTTGTAGTTACTATGATCCTTATAGAGGTGTCATCGTATATTTTCGAGTTGTTGATGGGAAAATAAAAAAAGGCGACAGAATTTATTTTATGGCTAGTGATAAGGTAAAATATGATTTCTATTAAATTTTTCGCTCCATTATAGCGTAATAATGATTGTTCCTTAATGTAAATTTTGTATAAATTACTCACGCATGCTTATTTTAATTTTTTATTCTCAAGTATTTGGCATTTAGGGCATATTGCTAACGTCTTTTTTTAGACTACAGGACTATTTTGCTGATGAAATTGGAGTATTATCTCCCAGTCAGTTACAAGTTGATGAATTGTACGCTGGCGAGGTAATGATCCAAATAGTGCTTATATGGCCGAATTGCTTGGGACTGCTATAAAATACTTTTAGGTGTAGTTGTGGCTTTTTCTGCTGCTTTAAGTTGATCATTCTGATGCATGCAGATGCACATGCACATTCATGTACACATGCGCGCTTGAACTTGGACATTCATGTACCTACTTTCCCCTTATATATTACAGTTTTTCTTTTTGGTACTTAGTTTTTGCATACTATCTTGTTGCTTCTCAGGTTGGCTATCTTTCAGCTTCTATAAGATCGGTAGCTGATGCGCGGGTTGGGGACACTATCACCCATTATGTTAGAAGGGCAGAAGATTCATTGCCTGGATACGAAGAAGCCACACCGATGGTGTTCTGTGGCTTGTTTCCTGTTGATGCAGACCAGTACTGTTCTCTTGGCTGTTTCATATTTATTCATCTTCATCGATGGAATTTTGATATTTCTTTAATGTCGTTGGTGTTGTTTAATCCTATGTTTTTTTTTTGGCAGGTTTCCGGAGTTACGCGATGCACTTGAGAAACTGCAACTTAATGATGCTGCTCTAAAGGTTCGCATGATTAGTAATATTATGATTTTTGCCAGTTAGTACTTATAGATCTTTGTGTATTAGAGCCTTCATCTGCATTCCTATGGCATAATCTTTGTGTATTAGAGCTTTCATCTGCATTCTTGTTTGCCACTCTGTCAATCTTTCATTTGCAGTTTGAACCTGAGACCTCAAGTGCTATGGGTTTTGGCTTTAGATGTGGTTTCTTGGGTCTTCTACACATGGAAATTGTTCAGGTATTTTCTGTTTTTACCACCTGTTATTCTCTAAAAGGCGTAGGCTTACCTTTTGGCCGCACCCATAGTTGATGTTTTTCCTTTTGCATGTGTTCGAACAACTGATAAAGTTCTCGTATCTGGAATTTATCCTTGCAAATGTTTTTACTGTGCAGGAAAGGCTTGAGAGAGAATACAATCTGAGCTTAATAACTACTGCCCCAAGTGTTGTATACAGAGTGAACTGTGTAAATGGTGATACTGTAATTTCTTCTCAATCCTAAACTCATCCATTTTCTTTCTCAAAACAATCCATATGTTCATAGACGTGTTGATATTGTTGACTTTATTTATGAGGTTGCCGTTGATTTCCTCCAGTATTTTGCTAAATGCCAAGCTATAGCATTGGTATGTTGTATTTCGACTTTCTTGCAGGTGGAGTGCTCAAATCCATCTTTACTTCCCGAACCTGGAAAAAGGACTTCAATTGAAGAGCCTTTTGTCAAGGTAACGCTTGTATTGGTATTTGCTTGACTTTGTTGTTTGAAATTCAAGATAAAGTATTTCAACTTTTTATGTTGAGAATAAAAAGGTCTTATATCTTACTTTCTTACTCATATTTACAGATTGAGATGCTTATGCCGAAAGATTATATTGGTCCACTCATGGAATTAGCTCAAGATAGAAGAGGAGATTTTAAAGAGATGAAATTTATTACTGAGAATAGGGCATCAATTACCTATGAATTACCCCTTGCAGAGGTTCTTTTTCCCCTGTTGTCCAATCAACTTGCTTAAGTAACTTGTAAACTCTGTTAACCATTTCGTGTCTCCCCTCCTCTTTCTTCCTCTTTCTTTGATTTACAGATGGTGGGTGATTTCTTTGACCAGCTGAAATCCAGAAGTAAGGGTTATGCCAGCATGGAGTACACATTCGTCGGGTAAATACACAACTTAGCCTTACGTAAGCATTAGTCGCATCTTTGTGATGATCCTATAATCACAAAAAAGTTATGCTGGGGTACACATTCATCGGGTAAAAGCACAACTTAGCCTTATGTAAACATTAATCGCATCTTTGTGACGATCCTATAATTGCAAAAAAATTATGTTTAAGATTATGCTAAAATCTACATCTGGGCAAATAACATCATCTTAGAAAAAGTTAAATGAGCAATATAAGTTTGAAGCATCTTTATGTGAAGTATAGTTAACAGGCTTCCCAGAAGAATACCCTAATTTCATATAGTGAGCCATTTGAATCATATTTTTCTTTGTGGCGGTAGCATACTAAAGTAGAAGCGTAGAATGTTTATCTTTATAGATGTTAGCTATAATCGCCATGGCATTTCAACAGTTGATAGAGCTTCTTTTATGAAAAGAGGATGCCCTGGTCAATATGAGCGGAGAATATTTCTTTGTTGCTTTTCATAATGGAGGCCTTTTCCTTTTGTGCATTGATTGTAAGGAAAGTAATGCACTTTCAGTAAGTCACTATGTATCAAAATGGCTTCAGGTACAAGGAAAGTGATCTGATAAAACTTGACATTCAGATTAACGGTGATCGTGTTGAACCATTAGCAACTATAGTACACAAGGATAAGGTAATCTTGACCTATGCATGCTCATTCTTTTCTTTCTAATTGTATTTAGATTCTCAGAACAATATTTAGTATCTTGGTGGGTGTCAAACAAGACTTTTCTATAATCAAAAGATTCATCTGGACGCCAAAGTACAGAAGCAGCATATGAACCAAATATGTACACATATATGTGTAATATCCCATGTGATTTTAGGCTACCTTTATATATATATATATATATATGACACAAAAGCTGAAGGAGCTTATACCACGACAAATGTTTAAAGTACCAATTCAAGTAAGATTTCATTCATCTTTTGCTAGGTTATCCAACAAGAGTCTTATGATTCTAGTACCATTTTGTGTTTATGATATTAACATACATCAATAGACAAATTAATACCAAGAAAATTCTGTTCCACTTTCCTTTAAGACCCCGTTGTCATTTGTTAGTATTAGTAATAGCTTGACTGACTTGGTTTGTAACCTTCTGCAACATATCCGCGACAGGCGTGCATAGGTGCCAAAGTGATAGCTAGTGAGGCTTTATCAGCAATCAGGAAGGATGTTTTAGCCAAATGCTATGGTGAGATATTGACTTGTTTTAAAAAATAATAATAAGCAAATAATAAAATTTAAAAAAAAAAAAATTGACCTGCTCTTTCGAAAGTGGTATTTCTATAAAGCTACCACTTGTCACTAATGTTTTCTCCTTTTTACTCGTATAGGTGGAGACATTACCAGGAAAAAGAAGTTGCTTAGAAAACAGGTGCTTACTTGCTAAAATATACGTCTGTTTAGAAATTAAATTTTGACGAGGTTGCAAAAAGCTTCTTTAAGCCTATAATATATATATATATATATATATTTTTTTTTTTTCTTTCTTTGAGGTATATAATATATTTATATTCTCTCAGAAGTATCTATATTGCTCGATGCATGGATAAATAATAATAATAACCCAAAATAATGCTTAAATTGATGGAACTGTTTATGCTTTAATGGTACTGTTCTTCTCTTCAATCTAGCAAATGACGGAAAAGTTATAGCTTTGTGCGTAATTGATTTAATGTGTTTTGGTTATCAGGCTGAAGGGAAGAAGAGAATGAAGGCTATTGGTAAAGTAGATGTTCCTCAAGAAGCGTTCATGGCAGTGTTGAAGCTTGAAAAAGAAGTACTGTGATGTTATGAACTTTATAGCTTGTAATTCATTAAAAAAAAAAAAAAAAAAAAAAAAAAACATACCCTCTGTAGCTTCTGTTGTAAAACAATGAATGCAATATAATAACATTATTAAATGTCAAAAGAAAAATATAAGAAGCTTGTGCTCTTGAAATTTCCGGCTTAATTTCTTTGTAGTTTGCCGCTTCCAACTTCTATGCATAAGAGTAGAAGCATCATAGTGTGTGTGTGTGTGTGTGAGAGAGAGAGAGAGACAGAGAGACAGAGAGACAGAGAGAGAATTTCTCTCCCATTAGCAATAGTGGGCGAATCCGTCAATGGCACCTGATTACTCTGTATTTCTGTTTCATACTTGGGAAAAAGAGAGCCATTTTCTTTGCCCACATATTTCTTTGCAACTACGCCTTTTTTATTTCTTTTTTTTTTTTTAACTTTGTATATTCTTAAATTGAGCAACAAGCAGATTGGTTCTTGTGAAAATAGTAAATAAATAAAATTTTTAAAAAAGGGATAATATATTTGTCAACTGTTTTGCAATCCTCTCTTAAAGCAAGGCATCGGTCAGCCAGAAGAGATTGGTCAAATGTTATCTTTCCTTAAGTTTGTGCGACAGTCCCCTTCAATCTGCATTAGGTGCCGTCCACTCCTCTTGACATTGTTATACCGATCTCTCTATTTTTTCTCTCTAAAAAAAATAAATAAATTATGTGTATATTTACAACTTGAAACTAAAGTATATGTTTAGATCTCTTGTCAATTTGAGTTTTTAGTTTAAATTAGGATGTGATATTTTTTAATAATTTTTAATTATATTAAAGTAAATTAAATGTGATATTTTTTAAAAATTTAAAATTATAAAAATTAAAAATTTAAATAGATGAAATAAATAAAGTCTTAAAGTAATAAAATAAAAAACAAAACAATCATCCTAACAAGGCTATATGTGTAGTCAATAATAATACAATAATTGTACTTTTCTTTTTCATCTGCTCCAGTTACGCAAGTCATGTAACAATGTAACCTAAAATGCTTTGGATTGTCCTGTTCTTCACGCCCTTTGAGTTGACCCTTATGCGAGGAGGCTATTGCTGTACATCAATAATTAATTAAAATAGGAAAAAAAAATCCAAAAGCAAAAATGCAAAATAAGAGAGAAAGAGAGAGAGTTAGTAGAATGGAATAGAAGAGAAGAAAATGGAGGGACGACAAATGCCATGCAGAGAAGAGAAGAAGGGAGAGGAAAGGCAGCTTCGGAGAAGTCTATACACCCACGCCACCCCAGCACTCAACCTTTGACTCTCTCTCTCTCTCTCTCTCTCTCTCATCTTCTGCTCGTTGACCACTCCCCACTTCTCCATTATTATTCCAAATAAAAAAAACTTCCCTTTCTCTCTCTCTCTCTCTCTGATTTTCAGTTTCCACTTTAAACTCTCTTCTCCGGGATCGGAGTTTTCCTTCTCCTTTCTTTTTCTATTTTCCTTTCTCGCCAACCAAACAAAGTTTCGATTTTTTCGCCAAAACTGATCAGGAGAGAAGCCCTAGCCAAAGGTAATAAGGTTTCGCTTTTGTAAATACTCGTGGTGATGGCTGTGAGGGCCTCAACCGCCGCGCAGAAAGCCGCCGCCGAGGCTGCGATTCAGGCGATAGGGTTGGGGTACGACCTCACCGTTGACTTGCGCCTCAAGTATTGTAAGAGGTCCTCCGTCGCCGGCGCCGACCACCGTCTCATCGCCGTCGACGAAGATGTCCTCAGAGAAATAGCGATTCCCGGTGGAATCTGTATTCAGAATGTTCCCAAATCCATCAAGTGCGATAAAGGCGAGCGCATGAGGTTTGGCTCTGATGTTCTCTCTTTTCAACAGGTACGTATTCATTCATTTATTTATATACAAATTTTATTCTTCCCCTAGTTCTTCTAACTTTAATTGACTAGCTTCCTTTTCTTTTCCCTCTCTTTTCTTTTCTGATAATAAATAATAATAAAACTATAAAAGTTGAATTTTGAAGATGCTTTTTTTTTTCTTGTCTTAATTTGATGCTCATTTGAATTGCTTCCCTTGCTGGCTGAAACAACAACACATAAGTTGAGAGTTGGTAGTCAAATTATTTTGCGCTTATAACTTTTAACTTGTTGTGATTTGATACCCTATATTTATTTCTATAAAAGTAACAGTTAAGCGTTAATCTGAGATAAATTCTACGAAATTCTTTAGACTATAACAGGGACTCAAATTACCAAAAGAATGATTTTTCAGGGAGGAAAATGCCTAGAGAATTTCCGGGTTAAATTTTTTTTTTTTGTAATTATCTCTTCTAAAGTTTGACCTCCACTAATGGTTGGAGTTAATTGCTATTATTTTATGAAATTCATTGTTAACAAAATATTCAGGGATGAAAGTTGCAAACCATGAGCAGTTTAGCCTGGCTAATGTTACAAAAAATCCTCTTTTTTCCCTCTCCGAAACAGGGTTTGAACTCTGAAGCTGCTCTTTTGATTTTCTTTGAATATTATGAATGAAAAGTAAGTTACAGCTGAATTGCTTCATATATTCGCTTATTTGAAACATTAACAAACAAGTTGAGCTTCGGTAGTTGTCAGTGACATTCTTGGTATCTTATGCCCGTATGATCGAGATGGATAATTTAGGTTTTTTTAGTGGATTTTGGTAATGTATATTCACTTATCTGTTACTTTGTAGATGTCGGAACTATTTAACCAGGAGGTATCGCTGTCCGGGAAAATCCCAACGGGCCATTTCAACACCGCTTTTGAGTTCACAGGAGGTTGGCAGAAAGATGCTGCCAACACCAAAGCCCTTGCCTTTGATGGAGTTTCCTTCACGCTCTATAATATTGCTCTCGAAAAATCCCAGGTGGTATTGCGTGGTCATGTCAAACAAGCTGTGCCATCTTCCTGGGATCCAGCTGCATTGGCAAGGTGAACTTCTTACGGCTCTATTAGCAATGAAAAATGCTAATGAGTGACCTGTTAGTTTTACTTTTTTTTTTTTTCCCATGTGACAGTTGTATTTTGCTACCGTACATGTGATGATGCTATAATAATGGTGATAAATAGCATTGTGCATTTGGCTATATATTCTCATTGGGGTTCGCGATATTAATCTCCAATTATTATTTCATAACTTATGGTGAAATCCATATTTAATCGAACAAGATGTACATAATATCTATCTATCATCCTTTTTCCTGCCTCTAAAGTTGATTTTTCTTTTTGGACCCTCTGTGACATTAAACTGTTGTGCCTAGAACTCCCACCGCCAATTTTTATGCATGTTTCTAGAATGCATCATAGTCATGGTGATCTGTGAGTGGAAAATTCTCTTTTTTATGAATGAATATTTGCATGTACTATTTTGCTTTTGGGTTCAGAAAACCTTTTAATAGTCTTTTTATTGCAGGTTCATTGAAAGGTATGGTACTCATGTTATTGTTGGCGTAAAAATGGGAGGAAAAGATACTATTTATGTGAAGCAGCATCATTCATCACCTCTGCAGCCTGCTGATCTACAAAAGAAGTTAAAGGAGATGGCAGATAAAATGTTTGCTGATAGGAGTTCTGAGAAATCCAACACGAGGAACAAGGTTTGAAGGACCTTATCCTTGTAAACCTAAAATGAGTTAATTCATTCTAAATATGAATGGTTTTGATGTACTTGAGGTTTGTTTATTCGTGCTTGGGCGAGAGTAGTACTAGGATGGGCGACCTCTTAGTAAGTCCTCATGTTGTTGCATCTGCTGGGAGAAAATTTGCATATGATGCTCTTCTCCAAAGAACTTTTATGCATTCTTGTACATTGAGTTTTGTATAGATTTGATTGTATTTGATACCTGGTAACCTTGTCCCTTCAAGCAATTTCTTGGAGGTGAAATTCTTTTTCAATCAAATATAGAGTTCTTAAACTTGTTAAGCTTTTTGAAGCAGTTTGATATTGCAAAATAATTCTCAAAAATGCTTGATCTTATGCAGTGGATGTATTGCTTATAAATTTGTTCTGTGTTCTCTTTCAGTTCACTAAGGAGCACAGCCTAACTATCATGGACAGGATTCCATCGAGTTCATACTCTAATACAGAGGTAAAGGGTCAGGAAGTCATTGAACTTTCTTAGGCTCACTGTTTTAGATTCAATCTTTGACCCTTACTTGTGATGATTATGATCTGTACCGGCTCTTTAAGTAATTGAAGTGTTGATTCCATAAATATGAATTTTTTTGTTCTTTTTTTTTTGGCCAAAAGAGTTTCTTGGTTATCCATGTAATTTTCTTTATCCCGCAATGTCCATCTTAAAGGTTTTAAGATTCTTTTGACATAAAACCTATAAATACTCACAAGATGCCAAAATGGTTTTCCAGTAGAGTTTGGTAATCGCTTATTTCTTTCACATATTTCAGTTGCAGGATACAAAATTTATCTGCAAGAGAAAAGGTGGAAGCTTACATAAAAATCTATCCCACGACAATTGGTGTCAAACTGTGTACTTTGAACCTGATGTAATCTCCATGTCATTGATCCCGATTTCTTCATTACTGAGTGGCATTAATGGGAGTGGGTTTTTAAGCCACGCTATTAATCTCTACCTTAGATGTAAGCATGACCCTTCTTTTGTCAGTGCACAAGCTAATGCATTCTATTACATGGTTATGACAATTGATCTTCTGTCAAAATGCTAGCGGTGTAAGCATTGTTATTGATATCATCTTTTCTTTTTCGGTTAATTTTAATCAAGTGCAGATAAACCACCAATTGAAGAACTGCATCAATTTTTGGACTTCCAACTTCCAACGCAGTGGGCACCGGTATTTGGTGAGCTTGCCCTTGGTCCTCAGAAGAAGCCACAAGGTGGTGCAGCTTTGCAGTTTAGCTTAATGGGTCCAAAGCTCCATGTTAATACAATTCCGGTATGCTACTGCTTCTCTTTCTATTTAAAATAGAATTTCTACTGCATTGTTGAGTAGGATGCTCTTTTGCATCTTTTAAAAACTAAAATCACAAAATCCTCCCCCCAGTCCAAGTAAAATTCGATACTCAACCTTGCTTCCTCAAGAATTACAAGAACATCCGGCATATTGTTAATCCCTTTAAACATCTCCCCTGTGACATTTTTTAATAGACGTAATGACATAAATTAGACGAGATGCCAAAGCTATCTATCTTGACATATTGGGTGCGTTTGGAATTGGTTTCAAAATGATTTTGTTTTCAATAAAAAGTAAAAATGAGATTGTTTTGAGAATCATTCTGAAAACGATTCTGAAATTGCGTTTGATTGGTTTTTTAAAATATTGTTTTGAGTATAATAAAAGAGTGAAATTGTGTTTGATAATTATTAATTAATATATTATAATACTGTTGATAAGTATTAGAAAATGAAAACAGAAAAGTGAAAACTTTCAATTGTTCTCCAAATTCCTTCACAAAAACTATTCTCACTGTTTGCGTTTTCGTTTTCGTTTTCAAAACATTTCCTAAACAAACGCCGTTTCGTTTTCAATTTCATTTTTTCCTCCTTGAAAAACGTGAAATGTTTTGGAAACGAAACCAAACGCACCCATTCTTTCTTTCACACTTATTCCTAACCGTATTTAAATTAAGAGTAGAAGGTTTAAGGGATTTGCAATCTGATGGGTTACTTTTGTAATTTTTAAGAATGCAAGGGTAAACGTTGCATTTTCACTTGAACCCCAAGGGAGGACTCTGTAATCTTCTCTTTTAAACCTGTGTCAAAAGTTCAAGGATTAGAACAATATCAGCTTTCAGAACCTTCTCATTTCAATTCAATATTTGCATCCTTTTAGTATCTTAACGTAGTAATGATGATTGTAATAGGTTGATGTGGGCAAGAAGCCAGTGACTGGTCTCCGACTGTATCTGGAGGGAAAAAGAAGCAATTGCTTAGCAATCCACTTGCAGCATCTCTCATCCCTGCCAAATTCCTTCCAACTCCAGGATGAAGTAAATGGGAATGTTTCTCATCGCTCCTCTGACCGCAGGTATTATGAAAAGGTTCAGTGGAAGAGCTTCTCTCATGTCTGCACGGCTCCAGTTGAGGCTAACGATGAGCTCTCTGTTGTCACTGCGGCTCACTTTGAAGTCGGAGACTCCGGTATGAAGAAAGTTCTTTTCTTGAGACTCCATTTCTCTAAAGTTGTTGGCGCATCTACTGTGAGACAGCCTGAGTGGGATGGTTCCCCTGGATTGGCCCAGAAATCTGGAATCGTCTCAACACTATTCAGCGCTCCTTTCTCAACAGCTCAAAAACCTCCTCCAAAGCCTTCTGATGTGAACATAAATTCTGCTGTTTACCCTGGAGGCCCTCCGGTTCCAACACAGACAACTAAACTTCTGAGGTTTGTTGACACCAGAGAAATGACAAGAGGACCACAGGACTCACCTGGTTATTGGGCCGTTTCTGGGGCAAGACTTGTTGTTGACAGTGGCAAGATATCTCTTCGCGTTAAGTATTCGCTTCTGACCATGATCTTAACGGATGAAGAGGTGTCGGAAGAGTTCTGAGGGCACTGATTATTGAAAGGGGAAGAGGATGTTTCTTGTAAATTCGTTGAGTTGCTTGTATATAAATTTTCTACATGTCTCCTTATATTAATGTTTCTTTGTATCTCTTGTAGATACTACTTTTGGTGATAATATTTGAATATTTATTTTAGCATAGTTATTTTGTAAGAGTTTCAGTTAGTTGTTAAGAATACAATTTGTGCAAGAGTCGAATTTAAGAGGGTGTTTTATGTGTTCTTTTGTTTTATTTTATTTTTATTTTTTAGTTTTACTGAAAGAGGGTGTTTTATTCATTTTGGTTATGGTACTCTTTTTTTTTTTTTTTAATACATAATTCTATCTAGCCCTGAACATGGACGCTGATATGAGTAGAAGACTTTTTTAGTGTTTGGGCACGCATATTCATAATTATACCGATAAATCAAATGCTGAACAAATTTTATCCTAATGTTCTATAATGAGATGTGAGGGTTCCATTATCATAGACACCAATGTGCTCACTTGTATGTGAGTTGTAACTTCCCCATAAAAATAGATTAAAGCATAGCAATGGGTAAATTAAACACCTTTATAACATCCTTAGAATGCAATCATCTTACAGACAGGTACTTAACCACCAGCAGTTTCTCACAAAGAAAAACATGTTGCCCCCCATGTTTAAAAAAAAAATTAAAAAAAAAAAGTTATATTGACTTATATACAGACTTTATGGTTGATCTGAAGTTGATATCTGATTCAGTAAAGTTACTCTCAAAATTGACACATGATGCAAAAGAAAGCCTATTATCTTGCTGTAGACAACTGTATAGCTTCTTGGTCATGTGTGGTGTCATATGCCCAACGAAACTGGTGAGAAAAGAGTGAGAATTCTCTATTCCTTACTTCTTCAAGCTGCTCCCACTCAGCCCACCTCTCTGCAAGTCCTACTCCCTGCAGCATTTTCACGACTTCCGCCATCGTTGGACGGTCCTCTGGCAATGATTGGGTGCAGAGTAGAGCCACCTGAATGATTGTCTCCACTTCGTTGGGCTCATAACTCTTCAAGTTTCCATCCACAATGTCTTGCAGCCTATTCTCCCTCTGCAACTTCTTTATCTGTTTACACAATTTCAGCGCTAAACATTATTAAAACTCATCCTTAACACTTCTTTATCTGCATGTCTTGATTGAGTGCACGGAAAAGATTAAGAAGGTTACATGATCAAGCAGAAGAACATCCTCCTCTTCTTCAAGTCGCGAGAAATCTATTGCACGTTGTCCGGTGACAAGTTCAAGAAGTGTTATTCCATAACCAAAAACATCCGTCTTCTCGGAAGATTTTCCAGTGGACAAATATTCGGGGGCGATGTGACCCATTGTACCTCGGACTTGCGTGGTGACGTGAGTCATTTTGGTGTCAACCAGCTTTGCCAGCCCAAAGTCTCCAAGAACAGCTTCAAAATCATCATCAAGCAGGATGTTTGCAGCCTTCAAATCACGATGTATGATCTTAGGGTTGCAGTGTTCATGCAAATATTCCAAGCCATGTGCTGTACCAAATGCAATTCGTTTCCTTGTTGGCCAGTCCAACCCTTTCTCTCCTGGTTTCAAATCTGTGACATATATACACACATATAAAGAAATTTTAAAGGCAACAAACCACAGCACTTAGCAGAATTTGAGGATAGCACTTAGTTATTGTCTAATTTTGACTGGATCTCGCATTAGGGGTGAAATAACTAAGGGATTGACGTGTGAGGGATTACTTTATAATTATCAAGAATGTAAATTTGAGCCTTGTATTTCACTTAAACATAAGGGAAAATTTTATAATTTTCCAAAATTTGACAATGATAGACTAAGAGCGTACCTCTCAAGCGGTATGCAACGCTAAGATTTGGCATGAAAGGATAGACAAGGATTCTCTCAGATGAGGTTGTGCAAAACCCAATCAAACGCAGCAGATTCCTGTGGACTGCAACACTAATGAGCTGGACTTCTCTGAGGAATGCTGCCTCCCCACCAGGACTATAATAATCTACAAGGCGTTTCACTGCAACCTTTGTGTTGTCCAAGAGGACTCCTCTATACACTCTCCCAAACCCTCCCTGCCCTATTATGTTGCTCTCACTAAAGTTGTCAGTAGCAAGCTGAATTTCCCGCAGTGAAAATCTTCTCAGCTGGCCAAGGGAGATTTTGTAGTCATCTTCACCTAAATTGGCAAATGATCTATTATGAGCTCCAACAAAATTTAGAGAGAAAAAAAATCCCTTTTTCCAAGGTAAATAATCGGTTTAAACTACTTGAACACAATTCTCAAGGAGGAAAAATATGACTTCCCATTTCCTTTAAGCTATTGCTTACACCACTGGTTTTGACCTGCTTAGAGTCGCTTCTTACTACTTGTGTCTCAAGATATCAATGCCACTAATATCAATGTATAGTAAAGACGAAAATATTACCTGTGACATCAACAAACACATCTTGTTTGAGCTTTCTCAAGTGACGATGGTAACGGTATGCAAAGACAGCCACAACAAGTAGCAGTACTAATGCAGCACAACTTGCAGAAGTTATAATTGCTTCAAGTTTTCCCTTGTTGGTTGAAACTGCCAAGATTTTTTTGCAAGATAAAGGATCAACCTAGAGGACAAAATATATACATTTCACTTAAAACAGTTGAATGACTGAACCTTGAGGATGAGAGTTAGAAACACAAGGTTGCTCCAAGCTAGAGCCACAAGAAAGACGTGTCCCTGAAAAACTGACAAGGTGCTACAATTGTGAACATCAGGTGTATTGTAATCCATAGAATAGATAGACATTGTTTGCTATCTTGTCAATGGTATTTATTTGGTTTTCATTTCAACACTTTGGCTGCAGCATGAAAAGTTTAGCCATAAATTAGTTGATTAAGTAAGCATGATAATGAAGATGTCATTATGTCATTAGAAAGGGGGAAAAAAAAAATTGTTCACTTGGAATTTACTTGAAATTTGGAACTGAGTAGAGTTGCAATGGGATGCTTCCACTCAAGTCATTAGAAGAAAGATCCCTGTAATTGAAAGAAAAATTTTGGTTAATACAAGACCAAAGTTAGAGAATTCATAAGATATACAAGACAAGACTAACAACAACATGAGACTTAGATAAAGATTCTATACAGGTCTGTCAACCCGGTTATATTTTTTATTGAATCAGGAATTTTTCCAGTTATCTGGTTCCCCCTCAGAACCCTGTAACATGGGTTAAAATGTTTTACTTTTCTTGGTCATCAAAACATTTTCTTTTCTTTAGAATTTTGACAGCAAAGAGTTATTTATCACTATTAGTGATGCGCCACCACACGCAATAACTGTCACATGGCAAAAACTAAGAGGATTGGCTCCCACTCTAATCATTTCGCAGTTTTAATGCAGTGTCACATACGTGGTTATTGCATTGCCAATGGTGATCAATAGAACTTTTCAAGGTGAAGTCTTTTCATTTTGTCCAATTACAATATTAAGCATTCAAATTCAAATAGTTGAGCAGTCAAGACAACTCTGAATTGGCAGATTAAAAATGTACAAGCATTGATCTTAGAAGATGGAAAATGAGGGCTTACAAATGCTTTAAACCGGAAAGTTCACCCCAAGTGGAGGGTACAGAGCCACTAAAATCATTGTTCGCCAGATTCAAATTCTGTAGTCGAGTCATGTTGGCAAGATAATCTGGTAAAGCCCCTCTTAGACTATTATTCTGAATGTCCCTGCAAGACAAAGACTTATTCAATGACTTCTAAAATCTCACAAAGCAACTGAACAAAAATAAATAAATAAATAATAAAATAAAATCCATGTGGCTGTTTTAATAACAATTAATCTGAAGAACTTTTAACTTCACTATAGCACCTATAGATAGTTTCAAAAGATCTGCTTCAACTTTGACTAGTAATGCAAAATGCGCAACCTTTTTCGTGAAAATAATTGCTTACAGGCTAGTCAAAAATTTGAGTATAGTAATTGCTGGTGAAAGGGTTCCAGAAAGTCCAAGTGAAGCCAAGCTCCTGTGTGAGAGAGAGAGAACAAGAAATAGGAAATTTAAATGGTAGGGTGCAAAAAATGCACTTTACCAGTACTACTCGATCACAAATCTTCAAATTGTCATCAAGTTCTGTTAAATTTACGTACTAATTCTGTATATAATTGTACACTACCACAGAATTCTCCTAGTAATGCAGTAAGACTTTCAGATAGACCTAGAAATCGAACTTCCTTCGTAATCAATCTGAACAAACATATGTTGTGCTCAAAGTAGTTGCACTTACAGGGAGATGACTTTTCCATCTCTACAAGTGATGTGGGACCAACTAAAGCAAGGGCTGACAAAATTAAAGTTCCAATCTGTTATCCGACCAGCGGAATCATTGAGTGCCACTAGTAAATCAGTCAAAGCTTCACCTGAACATAATTGAAATTGGAAAAAATAAAGTTAGTGAGTAACCTTAATTTAAGATTTTGGTTAGAGGAAAAGACGGCCAACACTAAACTAAATTTTGGCAGTACCTTCCACATCAGGTTCTGTGGATTGGGAACTGAGTTTTAACAACAGGAGAAGTATTAGCCATTTCTTAACGTCTAACTTTAGAGGAAGCCAGCTAAAGAACACTCCAAACATGTTACAAAGTTCCTTCTGAACTCTGTCCTGCCACCCCTTTAGAATCCTATGAAAAATAGTGTAAGATGTTTGTACCAACTTTTACAAAACATGACAGTTTGGATGATTAATGTAACAATATGCTGTATATAACATGGCATGAATGGTTCTAGAAATTACGTAACCATATAGCAAGTAGCCATAACCAATATATCTGTGTGTGTGTGTGTGTGTGTGTGTATCGATCAAGAGAAATTATGCTTGAGAGTTGAGAACGTATATGGTTGTACAAACACTGTGCTTTCGCTATGGTTTATTTAGTTGCCCCCAAAATTTCATTTTTCATGTAAAACATGGCAAGTCTTTTATCAAATACAGCTCAATATAAACCTATAAACATACAAACACTCATCTATAATATATATATATATATAGTAAAAATAAAATTTTGTATTTGGTGATATCTGCAGAAATATTTTACGTGGTGATGTTTCTTTGAAGCCAAAAATAGTGCCTGTTGTTGATTTATAATACAACAGCAATTAAAAGTGAACATGGTCTAGAACAGAACACACAGAAGTAAGGGGATACTGTAGCATAAAAACAAAATTAGATTCAAGCATCAAAAATTGCAAAATAAACACACCTAATTAATAGCTAATCTTCGTTCTAATCATATCAAGATCAAAATAGTGAGTTTCCGACAGTTAAACCAGTAGAACCCAAACAAACAAATCAATATATGGATAATGATAAAGAAAATAAAGCAATGATCAAAATGCATACATAAGTACAAAATGAACAAAAAAGAAAAGAAACTAAAGAGATGGATAAACCTTCTAAGCTTGTAAGAAGAAAACAAAAACTTACTTGTTTCAGAAATAACTTTTGCTATCCAACACCAAAAAAGGTACCATGGACCTCATGCTTACAAGAAGGAGAAGAAGAAGAATGAAAGAAAGAAAAGGCAATAATTACACCATCTTCCTCATGAGTGTCAATATCAATTAAATTTGATTGATGGGTCAGCAGCAAGGGTCCCACAAAGCAAACAGAGGCAAACAAAAAAAAAATTAAAATTAAAGGAGTGAAGGAAAAGGTGAGAAGAATGAATTTAAAAAAGAAAAAGGTTCTCAAGGGTAGCCAATAACATGGAATAACAGAGTGAGAGAGAGCTAATTGATATAACATGAGTGTTGTGTTGTGTTGCGTTGGTGGTGGAATAAGAATGAGAATATTAATTCCCACTAAAATGAAAATGGCTCTATTATTATCTATATATATGTGTGTGTGTGTGTGTTTTTTTTTTTTTTTTGCTTTAATAATCTCTCTCATTGTCATATTATTATCTCTTTGGCCACTAAATCGAGCATACTAGCTAGTGGTATTGATGCTGATAATAGAGAAGCTTCCACTACATGATTATATTCTCTTGTTTAATATTTGACAATGACACAATCCCATTTCATTTTATCAACCACATAAAAGAAGGAACATCTATATATATATATATATATATATATATACATATGTGTGTGTGTGTGTGTGTGTGTGTGTGTGTGTATATATATATATATATATATATATATATATATATATATATATATATATATATATATATATATATATATATATATATATATATATATATATATATATATATATATATATATATATATATATATATATATATACATATGTGTGTGTGTGTGTGTGTGTGTGTGTGTTTGTATATTCAATGTGCAATACGAATATGTACATAAAATTATAAATACATACACATGGAATACGTTTTCATTGTGAAAAACAGATAAAAAGTATGCACGAATTCATGAAAAGCATAAATTCGAACTCCAACTAAAGGGACAAATATATGTAGGTCCAGTAGTGGCTTCATTTTCATTCCATGACAAGTACTGCAGTACCTCATCAGCTAAGCACCAGATGTTTGCATGCATAAACGTCCATGGAAAACTAAGGAACAATCTTAATTATGCGGTGATTATTACTAATGGGTCACAAATTTCCATGTTAATTATGAGATCAGCATATTTCAAAATATTTATTTAATATTTTTCGTCTGTTAAAAATTACAATAGTGAGTGACAATAATGGTCAATTGTGGTTTATATATATATATATATATATATATATATATATTATGGATAATTGGAAGAATTTGGAACTGAGAAGTGCAGGTGTCGTGTCTAAACAAATGTTTAAAAATTGAAGTTGGTGGAGTTACTTTTTATTCCACAAAGAAAGAAAGAAAAAGGAGAAACAAAGGCAAACAATTAAAAAAAAAAAAAAAAAAAAAAAAAAAAAAAAAAAAAAAAAACAGATAATAAAGGTTGCTTTTCTCGTTCCAATCCAAGCATTTTTGGTAATTGACACAAATAAAGAAATGATAATTAACTTGACTAAAATAGTGGTGATGCTAAATGCTTGTAAGACCACCTGAGGACTGAGGAGAGTGGGTTTGTGTTGGAAATTCCAGAGACAAGTGGATAGCAATTGAGACATCTAAATTACAAATTGGTATAACAAACAAACAAACAAAATCCACAAACAGAAACTAATTCCACTTGTGAATGAAGTATTGGACCATCAACCCCATGGCCTTAAAAAAAGCAGCTCTTTTGTACTAGTACCACCCACTTCAAAAGTCTCTGATTCTTTCCGTTGAAAAAAAATTAAAAATTAAAAATAAAGGGGAAGAAAAAAAGAGTAGAGTGTTTGATTCTTAATTATTGGTGATGCTATTTATCACTAGTGAATGGGTGATGATCATTGTTATTGGTGTTTAAATCGGTTAGATATTGGTATGTAAGGCTGTGCAAGACGTTTGTTCAGTGAACTTGGTAAATGAATTTGTAGTGAGTGTTTTCTTTTTTTCCCTGAATAATTTGTGATTAGTTAAAAGGTATGAGAAAAATCACGGGTTGTAACATATAACATTGCTCTTAGATATCATCACAACCTACCTTCTCTTCTAATTATTAAAGTTATATATATTTATCCGGTCACAATACTTGGCAAATTTTAAAGTTACGTATTTATAAAACCTATATTAGAAGTTTATTTTATCAGCTTTAGCCTTTAAGTGGCTTAAAAAAAAAAAAAAAACAAGTCTTCAACAGCTTAAAGGGGTTGGCCGCAAGAGCCAACAAGCTTTTTTTTTTTTTTTTTTTTTTCTAAACATGGATAAATTATCTGGATTCTGACCTCACATATAATATCTTATTCATATATCAGAAAACTCCATCCTTACCATGACAAATAATAACGCCACAATACAAGTGTTGAAAAAAATAATAATAAAAACCCAAAAAAAAAAAAAAAAAAAAGAAAAAAACACGAATAAAAGAGATCCTGTAATAGAACAGGTATATCAGTTTAAGAAGTGAATTACATAAAAGATAGCACATGACTTAGAAGTTCAAAAACAAAACAGGCAGGAAAATTTTCAAAATTCTAAACACCAGTACAGCCTCCGCCCAACAACAAAAAAACAAAACAGACAAACTGTAATTTGTGTCCCTTCATTTGTAACATTATCATTTCTCCCAGAAATGTGTCATTTTACAATAATACTTCATCCATAACATAAGCCTTATTGCTCCTCTCACTCAAGTTCCTCCAAAAGCAATTCATTATCAATCTTCATGGGACCTATGTTTAACATACAGGACATAAAACAAAACAAAATGAGGTCATAATTTCAGTATATCACAAACAAATGAAACATCTCTTCACTGACAGTAACCCAAAAGAGCAAAAATAAATAAATAAACACAAAAAGAAAAACAAAGGAACGAATCTCACCTAGTCAAGGACTCAAGAAGATGGCAGTTGGGTTTCCAGGGGAAGGAGGGTTCAGTTGAATCAGTCTGACAAGAGAACCAGCTTTAGCAAGGGCGTCAGGATCAGTGATGGACAAGACTTCAACCTCTTCAAGGCCAATTTGCCTTTTAATCAGATCCAAGTTCTCCTCAAGAACCTCCATCTCCCCAAACGGCAGCCTCAAGTCCAACGCCTCAATCCCAAGCGCAATCGCCTCGTCCTTCTTGAACCTCATGAAAGGCATACAGAGCTTCTGGGTCATTTTGAAATTGTCATTCGGGCGAACAGAACTATTCTGAATGGCCTCCAATATCTCCCCATCGTCACTTGAGGTAAAAGTGCGAGTACTATTGTCAAATCTGCTTCGTAGCATTTCCAAGCATTCAGCTTTCCATCCGTTGAATTGCTCGTTGACGTATATCAGGCCTACTACTAGCTTGTTGTCCTCGGTCGTAGTTGTAACTGGTGCAGCCTTCTTGTTGCCTTTTTTTGAACCCAAAGTTTGCTTCTGAAGCAGCTTCCTCATCAGAACTATTGAGTCCTGCAAGTACTTATTGCCTTTCTTCAAGGTTAGATCCGGAACTTCTGCCACGGGCCAACCAGCATTAACCACAAATCCTTCCTTCTTCAAATGTTCCCTCCATACGTACTCTGCATAGTGTGGACAGATTGGAGTGATAAGCCGAGTCTGCACATCCATAAATCGCCACACAAGATCGCGGTTCATTCCCCCGGCACCACAGGAAAACCTATACTCATCCCTGGCAGCTTGAAGATCATAAAAGCCCGTCTTCAGGGCTTCTCTAAACATGAAATTGTGGTAATTCTGCTCAGTTGTTGTGACAGCAATGTTAATCTCGTTTGCAAAGACACGGTCAGCATAAGTTGAAGGGTGACCCGACCTCAAAGAAGAGTCAGCGGCCAGAACTTCTTCCATCCACGCAAGTTCTTTTGTGAGACGCAAGATGGCAGCGTTTGCAGTCTCGAAAACAAAATTGGCATCATCAACACCATCACCAGCATCGGCCAAAGAAAATCGTGTAGCATCAGCAGAGAACTCCTCGATTGCCTGGCGGATTGTTCTAAAGTTTCCTGTGGACTTGGACATCTTTTCGGAATTGAGCATGATGTGACCATTGGCTCTAAAGCCGCAAGGCCAGTGTTGCTTGGCCATGATCGCCGTGTGGTTATAGATAGAGAAAGTTAAATGGTTCTGGATTAGATCCTTACCAGAAACTCGGATATCAAATGGGTACCAGTACTCAAACTCCTGCTTCATCTTATTAAGAATTGATGAAGGGATATCGGATGAATTTGGATATGGGCCACCACAGAAAATGAAATCCCAAACCTCATCAGTCATTTGGTCAGGTGCAATGGGAGATCTACTGGTTCCATACATGTCTTCATTATGTAACAGATGAGCGATGGTATAGTAAGCCATGTAAATAGTTGAATCAGATAATGACTCAACCAAGAACTGCTCGTCCCAGGGGATGCGAGTTCCAAGCCCGAATGAACGCGAGCAAGCCCACTGGTTAAGCCAACTCAAGGTGTGCTCAAACCCATGTCGCGTTTCATCGGAGTACAAATTCATGTTAGCAAGGCACTCTTCAGCCAGCTTCCTCCATTCTGGCTCACCATATGTGATGTACCATTGATCTGTTAGAGCAACAACACATTCATCACCTGATCGTGACATCACCCGCTTCTCTGGTTCACTGTACATAATTGCCTCACCCGTTTCTAAAAGCTTGCTCCTTATCAAGGGCTTTACCTCCTGGACTTTCTTTCCCGCGAATTCTCCAACAACAATTGTTCCATCGGTGAATCCTCTCAAGTATGTCAACCTCTTGGCTTCTGCCAGCTTATCCTTCTCATTCTGGCTCTTGATCTTGAGATCCACGCAAACTTTTTCAGCAGCTCTATCTCCAAATCCCGGGATGTCAATAATAGGCACAATCTCAAACGGTAGTACCCATTCATCCTTCACACCGTACTTCGCTCTCAAGGCTGGTTTTGATTTCAAATCATGCAAAGCCATATAGTCGTCGGGAGCATCACTAGGTACGCTTGTAACAATTCCGGTACCTTTGTCTGTCAGGATGGTCAACATGGGAAGGGCGTAGATGATGTCGTTAAACGCAAGCGGAGACTTTAACTTAAGGCCAATTAAGTCGTTACCAGTTAGCTCAACCAAGCAAGTAGGTCTCTCCGGGACCCTAGAGTACTTCTGATAAGCCAGATTAAGAGCTGCTCTCTCCGTGAGAACGAATACCTCAGTTTCATTGATCTCAAAAGCTCCATATTTCCCGTCAGGCAATACCCATGCATTTGTTTGCCCATACATGGTCTCTGGTCTCAAAGTTGCTGCAGCCAGAAACACTCTCTTACCCTCCAACACTGCCATTTTAGGAGGAAAGGGTTGCAACACCTCCATCTTGATGATGGTATACTCTTGGGGCTGAACTCCTTCTCCCGTTGCCCTATCATGATCCGCACATGGCTGCCCATCCAATGGAGAATATATCGTGTATCTGAGATCCTTCACGATCTTTCCCATGAACTTCAATTTCCTCATCTGCCACCTAACAAAGGAATCAAAGAAAGGATTCTTGTCCGTCGTGACAAACGAGCGCCTCCAATCCACACCTAAGCCAAAAGCCTTAAGGTCTTCCATTGCCAATGGAGGGAAGAACTCCAACCACTTGTATGGATCTTGGAACTCAACTATCTGATTATCGGAGAGGCCAAAGCTACGCATAATATCCCACTGGTATACCTGTCCACCTGATTTTGATGCAGCCTTAGACTTTTTTCCTTTGAATTTTTCTGGAGGCGCGCCGTCGTTTGCAACCTCTGCCTCAGCTTCTGGCTCCTCGATTTCTTGCTCCTCCACTTCACGTGGAAAAACCGGTGGATTCCCAAACTTTTGGATCTCACGTGCAAGTTTATCAGCCGATGCCTTGATGGGCATACCAGTGCAATGGAAAGCAAAGGGAAACAGCACGTTGGCACCTCTCAATCTGTGGTAGGCGGCAGCAAATTCCAGCTTTGAGACTGAGAATGCGTGTCCAAGATGCAAAAAGCCATTCATATACGGAAAGGGGAAATTCCCAAAGAACTTTTCTCCGGGCCCAGGAGGCCTTTCGTGAGATTCAGCCTTGAAAACATTGGCATCCTCCCACCAATTTTGAACTTTTGATTCGATTTCCAGGAGACGGTCTCTCCTAGCAAAGCTTTTCCCACCTTCAGTAGCCATATCAGAAAGCTGACAGAAACTGCACAAAGAAAAGAAGAGAAAATCCATAAGAAAACTCATAATTAAACTGCCATAAGCAAGCATATACTCAAGCCCCTTAAGCCCAGGGGCAAGAAAAAACTTGGGGAACAAGAAACCAGTCGCAAAGATCAAACTGATGGTCCATTGTATTATATCCAGCTTAACATAAACATGTTATTATAAATAATATTCCTCCACAGCAATTAATCTAAGTAACCCATACAACTTCATTCTTATTTCTTTGAAAATCTGGAGACAAAAGCAAAAGAAAAGATTGAAAGTTAGGAGAATACATTTACACAGTCCATGCACGCATACAAATAAGAAATTTTGAGAACCAAATAGATCCTACGTAGTCTCAACTACCTCTCCATTGGTATAGTAACAATTCCTCAACTTCATCATGTTTCATTTCTTTGACAATAATTTAAAAAAAAAATCCTATTTCACATTACCCATTGAAAAAAAAATGGAAACGAAATTTGGCATAGAATTTGATTACAAGTCTGCTGCTAATTTCAACGGTGAAACTTCTAATTAACTCATGTCTTCTGCCAAACACTTTCGAATCAAAATTAAACGAGACACAACAAAGATTTCCATATCCAGAAACGAGAGCCAGGAATAAAATCCTTGATGACAATAGAAGGTAAGAAAAGAGAGATTTACAAAGGAAGTACCTCCGATTCAAAAGCGAGAAGCAGCAAATGGCATTACCAGAGGAAAACCTTGGCAGGTTCTTTCGCAGAATGGGAAAAGCCAGGAGGAAGATTTTGGGGGTGGTTTCTCTATCTGCCCTCTAAAACCCTAACTCATAGTTATATATATATATACACACACACACACACACACAAGGAGAATAAGAAGCTTTTTTTGTCTTGTCTTCACTACTGTGTTCTCTGCTGCTCGGCAACGCCACCCACAAGAACCTTACGATAAAGAGTAGGGTTCTCTTCTGTTTTCTACTTTTTTTTTTTTTTATTTGAGGAAATAGAATGAAGTTTACTTTCCCTTTACCAGTAATTGATAAAATTTCTTTAAATAAAAAAATTTCTTAATCCGAGTTTTTAATTAAGTTTTTAATTTGAATTGAATTGTGATTTTATATTAAAATTTTTTATTATAATAAAAAAATTAAATATAATTATTTTTTAAAATATTTTACTGTTTTAAAATTAAATAGTAAAATAAACGGGTTAACAATAGCGCTCTTTCTTGCGGCCACGTGTGAGTTATGGGATCGGATTCCTGATCTGGTGTGGGTCTCCCCATTATTATTTATGGGCGGGAATTTCTCACAAGTAAAAGTTGACTTTTTTTCTTGTGTGTTTTTAACGCTGTTTAATCTCGACTTTTCTATTTCTTTAAAAAAATAAATTAATTAATGAAGGTGAGAGTTTCAATCCCTAATGCTAATAAATACATGAGTTATATTCATTAAAATTATAGTCATTAAATTTTTTTTTTTTAAATTATGACAGTAAGAAAAACGTTATCAATTAGAACTAAAGTTACAAAAAGATAAAAAGAAAATAAAAAACCAATGATCTAAAAAAGTTTAAAGACCAAGCTGGTATAAAGATAAAATTTTGAAAATTGCTTCAAGGCTCAAATGAAATCACCTCAATCCCGCTTGTTTATTTGATGAGTCAAGACTGTGCAGAGTTAAATAGATAAAAAAAAATAAAAATAAAAATAGAAAGTTCATAAAATTGGATAATAGAATAAAATCATATGGCCGCATATATCATATATATGGTGTTGGATTCTTGATGTGATGTGGGGCTCTTGTGAGGAGGTGTACTCTTAGATACAAAGAATGGTTAATGATGGAAATTTCACTCCCATGAATCTATTCTTTTGTTTTTATAATCTCAATCTTAAGAATGACAACAGAGTGGAAACGAATTTGAAACTATTCTTCATCGGCTTGAGGAAAAGTTTTATTCAAATTCTTCATCGGCTTAAGGAAAAGTTTTCTTAAACAGGATCGTGATCGGGATATCTTGTTGGAAGAGTTTCTTCGTACTCTTTATTTCTTGTTAGATATATAATTTAACTATGCATTTTAAAATGGTGATTCTCTCTCCACACTTTCTTCTAATCATGCACCCCGCATAATTTTAAGAGGACTAAAATTACTTTTTAAGTGCTCTTATTATTTCAAGGCCATTCCTAATTATTTTTATGATATAATCAATTGTTCATTATTTTATTTTTCTCTTCACACCCGCTATTTTATTTTAATTTGTTACTTTAATATTATTATTTGCTTTACTTATATATATATATTGAAGTTTTAGGCACCAAGCCTTTTTTTATACATAAAAAACTATAATTATGCTCTGTTTTAAAAAATAAAATAACATAAATATAAGCATAAGGCAACATAATTATTATATCAATTAAGGTATTGATGAAAAAGTAAAAATGAAATTAAAAAATGAATTTCTTATTTAAACGAGAGAATTGAACATAAAAAATCCAACTTTATAAAAAACTAAAAAACAAAATGAAATGACTAACCTTTAGAAAAAACAAAATGAATAGTTAGAAAAAAACATAAAAATAAAATGAAATAAAAAATAAAAAAAGCGTCATACAACAAATAACAAAGAAAATTAAACAATATTTCCATGCAAATTTTTGGAATAGTCAGGTGAAAACTATAATTTTATTATAGATTTCAAAAATAACAATAGAATTTAATTTGTGGTATAGTTATGGGTGTCTTAGAAGAAAAAATTATATAATTATTTTCTTTTATATAATAAATTTTAATTGTGTAATTAAATTGATCATAATTGTATTTTTTTCATTTTATGTGAGGGTCTTTTTGTCATGAATTTTAATTTAAAGAGGCATATATAAAGTAAAAAGAGTCGTGTGTGAATAGAGGCGTCAAATGGATGGCTCAACCCTGCCCGTAACAGTACCGGATTCAACACAGCTCGGTACTGTACTATTACGGGTCTTGCTAGCCTGGCCCGTTTGATGGGCTAAGGCTGGGTCGCAGCTTCTCAACCCGCGGCCCAGCCCTAGCCCTTAAAGCCTGCGGCCCGGCCCAAGCCTGACTGTGCAACTGAATTCTTGACGAGAAGAGGAGCAGAATGTATCCAGATATCTTGGAGGGGTTAATGTGTGTTAAAGATGGAAAGATGCCATAAGATGAAAACAACAATATACGGATGATTCAATTCAAGAATATTTTTATAACTTAGACATAACAAAATCATCTGAAAGCACTTAGGTTTTGTAATTTACTTATCTTATAATACTGCATTCTTTTTTCCTACGCTAAGGTTTTGTCTCGATCTCCCCACGGGTTTTACTTGACAAGGTTTTTCTCGAGGCAGTCATTTACATGTACTTATTCGTATTATCCCAATTCAATAAAAACATATCTTTTGGGGGCATATGATTTTTTTTAGTTAAATATTGAAAAAAAAATTTAAAAGGGCCTGGGCCCGGGCCTTATGGACAAGGGCCGAGGGTCAATTCCGGGCCTGAAGGATTCTCCTCAGGCCCAGCCCTGGCACGACCTAGGCCCGCCACGGGCCTGCAGTTAGAAGGGCCGTGCCGACCCGACACGACCCTTTTGACAACTCTATGTGTGAATATAACCACCCATTTTAAAATGATAACAACTTTAAATAAGAACAAGGTAAAATTCATTAAAAATTAAACCAAAGTCAAAGATTATGATGATGTCGGGTGGCACTCGGCGTGGGTTTTGGAGGTGGACGCGAGCTCTAATGATGGCCAGTGATACTTGACGCAAGCGCTGGAGACGGAGTTTTGATGTCAATTTCAAGCTAAATTTGAGAAAGATGCTGGATGGGTTTTGATTTTGGAATAGCATGTTTAGAAGATGAAGAAGGTAATTATGGGGAAAAAAATGATTCCACCAACCTCACTATAGCAATTCCACTCTTTCATTGGGTGAATGGGCTTTCCACCAAAATGAGTGAATAGTCTTTCCATAAGAAAGACCTTTATCTTATGAATTTATTAACCAAGCAAGAGAAACTAACTTTAGTAAAGAAATTGTCTTTCCTTTATTTTCCATTCATCCCAACCAAATGTGACTTAAATCTTATTAACAAACGTACAAAGATCTGAATTAAAACAATAATTAAAACATAAGCTAAAAAAGTTTCAAACAACAAAATAATAAATATTATTATGTTAGCCTACTTAGATTATAAATTAGAAGTTATCCTTTTCTTTAGTAAAATAGTTCTAATATTAGTACTTATCTTTTATTTTCTTAGTAAAAGCACTGTTAATATTTATAAAGTTGATAATATATACATATACGTGTGTAACTATATATGGGAGAATTAAGTAAATAGTAGATTTATAGAAAATAATTAAAGTAAATAACAAATTTTAAAGTTATTTTAAGTAACAAAGAGTTTATTGTATAAATGTTTCATTTTTTACTAGTAAAAAATAGATTTTTCATGTAAATTTTCATTTTAAAATTGGTAAAAAAGTTTTTTCACTTTGTCAAGTAAAAAAGGTTTTTTCACGTAAATAAAGATTTATTTACCATATAAAATATCATGTTTATCAATAGTAAATTAGTCATTTACATAATAAATTACTATTTACTTTAAATAGTTTTAAAATATGCTATTTACTTAATTTAGTTTAATAAATATATTATTTACTACAATTCTTCAATATATGTATAGCGAGGTGAATGACAAGTTGGCAAGCGAGGTGATGCTTCCATCATTTCGTCTCGCTACAACTGAGGATAAAATTTCTCATCCCTTACCTATCCAAGAATGGTCATCGCAGAATCCCGTTCTCGTAAAAATTATTGTTATACATACTTCATCCCTAATTATAAAAGTGACAATAAATTATTATCTTTAACATACATAAAAGAGCAAAAAGATTTTTCTTTCCTTTTGATCACAAGGGGGCTTCTCATTCTTTTTGACACATGACATCACCTTCGTGATTTCTTTACTTATTTTTTTTAACACTAATCTTTAACGCGCACGATTCATTCAAAATAAAATTTGTACGCATTGTTTTTTTAAAAGAACAAGAAAGAAAAAAAGGAACTAAGGACATCAATGAAAGAAATAAAGACAAAAATGGGAAAATATCTGAAGCAAGAGGGGAGGAAAAAAATTATAAAAAATTAAATAATTTTTAAATGGTTTATTTATAAAATAATTTATAAATAAAAAGACTAAACAATTTATAAATAATTTATTATTTTAATGAGTTCTCAAATTTTTTTACTTTCATTTTAAAAACAATTTATTAATTTTTTTGAATGCTATGTGGTACGTGCCCACTTACATCGTTGCGTTTTAAATTAATTGCATTTTGTTTTGTTTGATTGATTTTTCATTTAATAATAATAAAGGGTGATTTTATTTTATTTTAGGCCTAACATGTGGGTAAAACGAACTAAACATATCGTCCGCTCCCCCTAAAAACGGGTTCTTCTAGGAGATTTAAGGCACGTTTAGTTTACTAATTCAAGCTGAGATGTGACTTTATGTGAAAAATTTTTACTGTAATAAAAAAGTTAAACTCGAATCGATGAAATGACCATAATAGATTTTGGTGATTCCTTACTCAATTTACTTCGTAAATATGGCCTATATAAATGTTCTTTTTTCTAATTGCTTTACTAAAATCACATTTTTTCAAACGTGTCCCTATCTAAATATTTTTTCTTTATAACCCTTTTAAAAACTATTTTTTTATATGTGCCCCATAAACAATTTACTCTCTAACATACTCTCCTGAAAACTTTGTTTTTCTTTTAACTAGACTCTACTTAAATTTTTTATTTTTTATTTACTAAACTAAACTCTTATAAGAATAATAAGTCAATGAAAAAAATAAAATTTTTAAAGAAATTTTAAGGCCCCGTTGATTTCGATGATTCGAATTTTGTTACAGTAAAAAGTTCTCACAAACAATCATATTTAACTTTTTTATTATAATAAAAAGCTCTCATAT